TAGGTCCTTTGGACCCTTAGGGAACCTTAAAACCCCGACAAAGACCTTTATAGAACCCTTATAGATACCACAATTATGAGTCATAGTCTTTTCGGCCCTTACGGAATCATTTTCTCTAAACCCTAAAAGCCCTAACCCTAAACCCAAAACCCCTAAACCCTAAACCTTTGGGAAAATCTTAAATTGCAAAACTCCTGGGGGCGCCAAAGAGCAGCAACGCCCTGTAAAGCAACAGCAAATTGACATGACTTTTCGTGTTTAGGGTGTAGGGTGTAAACTTGGCGCGACGGATGCGAAAAAAAAAAACTGAAACATGAAATTAGGCAAGACCTTGACTATGAGGGAAGAAATCTACTCAACTGCCAAACATGTAATGAGTTAAAACCCTGACCAGGAGGCAAGAAAGCTACTAAAGTGACTAAAACCCTGAACATCTCTAAACTATCCTTGAACAAAGGCACTAAACTGAACAAAGCCCCTGAACTATGGCTCTCCTCCGCGGTCTCTGTCGCCCCAGCTGCAGCCGCTTTCCGACGAGCCTTTCCAGCCGTCTCAGGGCGGTAACATAATAGGGCCCTGACAATCGGAATAGGGTTTGGGGGCATAGCATTGCCTAATTGTTCTTGGCTGACTTCTGAACCCCTCCCAAAAGTTAAACTGTTAGCACCCTTATTACAGTTTTTGAAGAAACCCCGAAAAGTTAAAGTCCTAAGATCCAGCCAGAAGACCGCCAAGTATTATGGATACAGGAACCCTGCAGAATGGAATTGGTCATTCTTCACAGCCCTATATTGGGGTGGCCTACGTCTAGGTTCTGCAACGTTGGTAGTATGCCCTTTGTCCTGTCAGTCAGTCTTAACCAGGATACCAACAAAAACATGGTGAAAGGGTCTGCATCGAAAAGCTTAAAGGGTCTTATGGGCTTCTTTAGGGTTTAGGACGGATGTATATAGACTTGAGATCAGGGTCATTGTAGCATGTATCTGCGGTTCTCAGATAGGAAATGTGGTTGTTGGTAAAAATCCTGCATTACCCATAATAAGGAATATACCATAATTCCCATAGTTTAGGGTCCTTAAGCTCATGCAGGATTTCTAACATCAACAGTATGGTGGAACCAAAGACATGTTGGCACATTTGTGTGTGTATCCCCGAAGCTTCGGAGGCTTTCCCTACCTCTCCCTAAGATCAGTTCGCGTTGGTACCGCTTTGTTTCCCACCCTAAGACACAAGCCATGCAGTAAAGTGCCCTAAACCCTAAACCCTAAACCCTAATCTCTAAACCCTAAACCCCAAACCCCAAACGCTTGAACATGGGCAAGGCATCAGCTTCAAGGAAATGAAGTAGCAGGCTGAAATTGAATAAGGTTCTCCCTTGTCGTTAACGTTGTACACAAGCACTTTAGGTTTGGAGGTCGAGCATTCGGGTTTGAGGGAACCAGAAGGAAATCCTGAACCCGTGATGCTGCCTTCTTACTTGGAGGGTCCGGGGACTAAGTAGGTAGTTATTTTGTAGACTTATAAGCATCATCATAAAGCCTACTAAGCCCTGCACCCTAAATTAAACCCTAAACCTTAAACGCCAAA